AATTCTAGGCATAGTTTCATACCATTCAATGTTGGTTTTATTTTCGTTGTTTGTCTCATGATTCATATCATTGAAATATGTCATTACTTTGCGAAATCAATTTAATTTTCTTATAAATCTCTCTTTAGAGCATTATATTATACAGGGTGTCCCAAAATTTACTATGAAATTGCTAAACTTTTTTTTTCAGACACTGTCATATTTCTGTCTTTTTGTAATCAATTATGATACAAAACAAATAAATTTGTAAACCTTATGTCAAAACATTATTAAACGTATTTAACATGTGCTCTGCCTCAATACCAGTAAATTTCTAATCTATCCTTAGCGTTGCGAAACACATTTTAAAGTATTTCAATTATTTCATACTGAATACATTCTTTAGGCTCAGCTAAACTATTAATCTTGTAGTAATAAACCTTTGTTTTTATGAAATGCCATGCAAAAGAATCCAGTGGTAAACAAAGATGTCTTCTTGTGTTTTCATTATTAATAGGATTCTGAAAGTGAATGAAAATAAAATTAGAAAAAAAAATGCATAAAGTTATAAACAAAATTAGAAATGTATAATTTTTCTATCATTTATTAAATATGAACAGGAATAAAAGTGACTTTTAAAAAAAAAAAATTATCTGACTTCCCTGAAACAGTTAATTCTGGGATACGCTGTATAAGGAACTTAGAATGTCTATATCATCGAACAACGTTATTTTAGTTTTCTGGCAAGGTTTTGACATCTATCTAAATTTTTATGATTTTTTTTTTATTTCCGTTGTTTGACATATGATTCATATCAATGAAATATGTCATTACTTTCCGAACGCCATTTAACTTTCTTATAAACCTCTCTTTAGAGGATTAGATTATACAGGGTGTCCCAGAATTTACTATTTTAATGAAATCGGTAATTTTTCTAAAAACAATTCTGTTTTTTTTCTTTTTTTTTTTTGTATTTTTTTTTTGTTCTTTTTAATGAATTATGATACAAAATAAATAAATTTGTAAACCTTACGTCAAAACATTATTGAACATTTTCAACATATGCTATGTCGACATCCCTGGAATTTTAAAATCTATACTTCTTTTCATTTTTATGTGCCATGTCCTTTCAGGACGTAGGCGATCATGGCTCTCCGCATCCCTGTATCCCTTGCAGCTCTCAGCAAGTTCCTTCCCTCTTCTTCTTCACCCAGACCACCTTCTGTCATCCACCGGCTCAAGCTCGCCACCTATGTTACGCGCTGCTTTCCCTTGTCACTCCTTCCTGCTATTCGACCCGAGAGTATCAGATTCTTCAGGCCCTCTTTCCTCATTATATGTCCCAGAAACTTCAGCTGCCTCTTCCTGATGTTAAGTATAAGCCTTCTCCTTGTTTGAAAAATCTATCCTTAGCGTTGGGAAATACATTTTGAAGTATTTCAGTTATTGCTTATGGAATGTATTCTTTCGGCTCAGCTAAACTATTGGTCTTGTGGTAACAAACCTTTGTTTTTATATAATTTTTCTATCACTTATTAAATATGAACAGGAATAAAAGTGATTTTTTAAAGAAATTATCCGATTTCCTTGAAACAGTTAATTCTGGGATACGCTGTATAAGGTAATTCAGTTATATGTCATGCGTGATACGCGCTTAGAATCATGTATCTTTTGATACATATGTGGCACCCTGCATTATTAGAAAACTAAAAAGAGATAATCATAGAAATATGATTTAATTTTTATTCGGTTTATTAACCAGTTGTTAGTTATTTAGAGACGAAGAATAATTGAGTTTTGAGAATAATTCTCTAATTGTATTTAGGCGATCCGAAAGAAAGAGGAAGGAAAGAAAACAAAAAAACAAAAAAAAGAAGAAATAATAAAAAGAAAGAGAAAGAGGAATAGATAATACAAAATCCGGTCATAAGCAAAACAGGTGTCAAAAGATATCCAGGTCAAAGTACCTGACCGAAATCCAGGGAAATAGAAATTGTTATATTTGGTTGAAGAAATAGAGTTTAGAGATAATAAAATAAAACAAAAAAAAAAAGAAAAGAAGAGGAAAGACAGAAACATAATACGAAACAAGTTCGTAAGCGAAAACACACACGTTCGACCGGCACAAAATTATCAGGTCAGGCACTTGAACTAATTCCGTGTCCGCGTAGGATGGAAGTTTGTTAAAGTTGGCTGAAGCAATAAAGATTTTAAGAACAATGGAAAAAAGAAATATTAATAAGTGACAAACGAAAAGGGTGTCATTGAGTTGATAAGTGACCGCTGGAATTGTAAACGAAAATAAAAAACCATTAGTATACAAATCCTGACCAGCTCTAGAGTTGAAGATAAGAACCACCCACGATGATGAGTAAAGATATTTTCAATTCAGATAATTAAGATTTTGCTAACAGGCCTGAGCGAAAAAAAGAGGTGAAAGCAATTGTTTTAGCTCACATAGGGCGCCAGCAGGACGAGAAAAATTCTTCCTGAAGTCACATCTAATTAGCGGCGGGCTATTTTGACAAATACCACGTATACGAACAGGACAATTTAAATTTTGTTTTTTTTAAAACAAGGTGTTTCTTCCCCAGAACAAAGCCCCGGATTGACCACGCCCGATTGGAGACGTCACGAAGGAGGAGAGACGCCTGACCAGAATCTCATT